GAATGGCCCAAGTGGCATATAAAAAAAAAAAGTAACACCAACACGAATGGCCCCAAATTTACATATACGTGTACATCTGCTTATGTGCAAATCTGACGTAATTAACCTTTTTGGTGACACATTTGACTCCAAGGGGGATGGTTGGAACGTTCTGCTGTAGTTTACGCAGCTATCGCACACAAGGAATATCTTATCTTTGCAAAGAACTGAATTTAAAAAAATAAAAGTCGCCTCATCCCATTTATTAAGAAGGAAGAATGAACAACTTTGCGGGAGGGTAAAGGGTTTTACGGTGGCCTCGATGATTATGTAAATACACATGTTTACTACGTGTGACCATTTTTCAGAGCAACTCATTACGTTCGTCCCTCTGTGTAAGGAGACCAATGGTAGTCATAGTTGTGGCTCCTTTGTGAAGCTTTAAAAAGGTTTTGTATACATTTACGTGCATTTTGCAATTTTCCAGGTAGGACAAATTGTGCATCCCGCAGTGATAATGTGCCCATTACTATTTATCCTATTTTAACTTCGTATTGATTACATACAGGTACGGCTGCTAACACTTTTGCATTGGCCACTAATATTCCTCTGGAGAATGTAGGTGTAGGAATTTGCGCACCGAGGTCGATATATTTACATACGCAGTTGTGTGAAACTGAGACGGGGGTGAAAACAGGGGGGAAATGTACCCCACCTTGTTATGTATCCCATGAAATGAAATTTTAATTCACGTGATTGGATTTCGCATTCGAAATGTTGCACAGACATGTTGTTGAAATGACAACACCTGCATAGGTATGCATTCTCCAATGGACCGAAATGCAGCGCAATACAACCTATTGGAGAGTTTAACAACCCTCAATGGGCTCTGGGCAACAAGACAGATAGCAATCCCCCCCCCCCCCCCCCATTTTGGCACGCAGGAAGGGGAATTGGGCAGCCCATATGTGTTTTTTTTTCCCGTTCAAACTGTCACTTCTGTGGCTATGCGCTCCGTATTAACAGTCGTAATATTTTAGAAAAAAAAAAAAAACTTTTGTCGGGATATACTATTTTGGAAGTGCTGCTGTTAAGAGTCCCTCTTTTTCATCAACACGCAGCAGCCTTTTTTTTTATCTTTTTTTCCCGTTTTGGTATGGTCCACCATTGTGCCGTTGCTTGAAGGTGCTAATGAAAAGTCATTCATCATCCCTGGCATCATCCCATTTGCACACACGACAGAGAACAAAGAGCCACCACAAGTGAGTTTACCCTTTAGCCCAGTGTGAGCAGTAGACGACGTTACACAGTACCACTACACCAGCTGCGTCGCGCGTGTGTGCAAATGTAATGTGTCCCCTAAAAATGCTACATGCGTAGTTGAGCAAGGAAGCAGATTGCCTACTTCACCATGCTTAAAAACTAATGGACTGAAAATAGTACAACGTTTTGTTTACAAAAATGTTTACAAGTTTAATTAATTTTTTTTTTTTTTTTTTTTTTTTTTTTTTTTTTTTTTT